AGATGGCTCAGTGGAATAAGCGCTTCCCTAGCAAGCACAAGGGTCTGAGTTCAATCCCCGGTTCCGCCAAAAAAAAAAAAAAAAAAAAAAAAAAAGAAATGGATGCATCTGTGGGAGTCCAGGCCTCAAGATTACAATGGAATGACCAGGCTTCAGATAAATGTTAACATCTCTAATGAAGTCTAGACAGACATCAGTCACCATTTTGGGTGACCAAGACCCTCTAACTGATGCCTTCCGGAAAAATTCTTTCTTCCTTCCATGTATACTTGCTATATGACTTGCTTCTCCACTGGATCAATATTACCTAAGCAGCCTCCTTACACTCTTTCTCATTGATCATAGCTGTAATCCACGTTGTACCTATATGGTCATGCTCTATAAAATTTTTCCTACAAAGTGGAGTCCTTAGCAATCCACTTTCTGAACCCCTTCTGTCTCAGGAGTTGGATCTTTCCCCTTTAATATTTCCTACTCATAACCTTTGTGGTTCCTTAAAACTCATTCTTTGTTTTTGGAGAACACAAACTTGGCATATCTAACATCAAACAGATTGAGTTACATTATTTCTTCTATATTGTGCCCATACCAGACACACAAGTTAGGAAATGCACCTCCCCCCCAAGAGAAGGCTGTCTTCAAACAAAGCACCAAGGGAGCAACCTAGCAAGATAAAAAAACTGCTAGCTTGCACCTTTAATCCCAGTACTCTGGAAGGCTGAAGCAGGGAGATGGCAAGTATGAGCCCATCCTGAGCAATCTAACAATTTAGTGAAATTCTGTCTCAAAGAAAAAAAGAGCTCAGAATGTGGGAATGTAGCTCAGCACAAAGGGCCTAGGATCAATCCCACTGTAGAGTGGTGGGTAGACATCTATTTCTACAGTTAATGCTCTACTGAATCAAACTGCACACACATATAGCCACACACACACACCATTATCAAAGCTGAGTGAAGATCCAGGATCCCTGTTTTCCTTCTCCTGCAATGAGGTTTCCTTCTGCTGCCCTCATGGAGGCCACCTTAGTCCACATCCTGGGTGGGTGACCCTTTTACCTCAGCTGAGTAGCTGAGCCTTCAGGCACAAGCCACATGCCCTCAGGGTAGTTGTACTTTGCATTTTCAACATGGCCAATGCTACTGAAATGCTTTTATGTGCATTTTGCAATGTGTATAATATTCTGATACTCATTTCTCTAATTTTTGACATTTTTTATTAATGAATTTTGATAAATATTCTAGATCTGAGAACATCATCACTTATTTTTAATTATGCATATATATTCACTGGTGTCTTTCAAAAACCAGTTTTTAATTTTGCCACAATCTAATTTCTTAAATTTTTGTTCCATGAATCATGATTCGTGCATGGTATATATTTAAAACTGCCTAAGTTAAGGTCATGAGTCCTTGTTTTCTACTAATTTTATAGTCTTAGGTTTTGCAGGTAATCTGCTTTTCACTTTGAGTTGTATATATCGAATCAAAGTTCATTTTATACTTATGAGTATCCAATTTGTTTCAGCACCATTTTTAATTTAATTTTATTTTAGGGGGTTACCAGGAATTAAACTCAGGACCTCACACTTGCCGGGCAAGCACTTTGCCACTTAGCTAAATTCCCAGCCGAACACCATTTATTAATGTGCTGAAAGTTATATGGGAAAGGGAGACTGAAAATAAATAGATTAATAATTAAGCATCTTTCCATTTCTAAGAAAGACAACTTCATCTTAATACATATTTTACCCTGTTACTTTGGTTCAGTAATATTTTGCTATATATATGCATAATTAAAATAGCCAACATTTTTTTATAGCATCTAGCATATTAGATTCATGCCCATCTCATAATGAGGTATTCTATTTTTTAAAATTTTTTATTAGTACCTGTTTGCAGTACACAATTACATTCCTGTGGAATTATCACATGTGCATAACGTCTGGATTCTTCAATTGCTTCCCTCTCCTCCGTTCCGTCCCTTTATCTCTTGGTCCCTGTCCCTTTTGCAAAAGATCTACCTCCTTATATACTACTGTTTGTTTTCACCATACATTTTGATCACACTTCGTATTTTAGGGTCTCCAATTAAGCGGAGAACCGACCACTGGAAATTACCTCATCCACAGGTACCTGATTTTTTTTTTTACTGGGGATTGAACTCAGACCCTTCCAGGCAAGCGCTTATTCTACTGAGCTATCTCCCCGGCCCCATTTAAAAAGACTTCTGCTTTGGACAAGTTCCTTAAGTATTTTCTCATATAAAATAGTTCCAATTATATAGGGTCTGTAGTTGTTAACACAAAGTGCCTGGCTATCTTTCTTACATCTAGAAAAAAAATTTTGTGTGTTTTTGTTGCCTAGGACCAAACGCAGGGCTAACGCTGAGCTAAATACCTGGCCTCTAGATTTTTATTTATTGTTTAGATTTTTGAGGTAAAGTCTTGCTATGTAGCCCAGGGTGGTCTTCAACTCACCATATTCTTGCCTCAGCCTTCAATGCCGGGACTTGAGGTATGAGCAACTACTAGGAAAAAAAAAACCCAAATAACCCAGACTCAACTGGTAATATTATCATATGCTAAATCACACGCACGCGGAAGCACACTTTTCTGTTAACAATTCCAATACATAACTTTATTTCACTTAAATGTCCACTGCAGGAGTCAGACCTCAGAAGGGAATGCTATTTTAATAGTATGTTGAGCTGGAAAAACTTGTATTTCTATGTAAATTTAGACAACTAGTTCTGTAAAGTACTACTGCACGACAAAGCTTCCATCAAGGACTCATGCTTAAACCAAAGTCCCGGAATCAGGTTTATTGCAACCTTCAAGATACCTTTCGTGTCCTTTGACTCCAGGAAACTCCCGATATCATTTTATGAAGCTGCAGAAATAAGAAATCCAAAAGATCATTGCTCATCCACTTCACTACCCCAGATATTCTCGACACAGGCCCCCATATTCAGGTTTGCTTGTTTTAGGGAGTTACTGGTCTAATGATTCATAAACTTCCACAAACTTGAGATTTTCAGCTCCTGGGCCAGGTGTCTCTCCGGTCGAAGGGCAAGGTTCGGGGTCAGGACCACTTCCTGGTGACGTTGAGATGGTCCAGCTGGTCCGCGGCGAACCTGTGCGGGGGGAACTTGGCCGCGCGGGCCGCCTTGATGGCCTCGAAGGCCCGCGCCCTGCGCTCGGCGGCGTGGCCGTACTCCTGCTCGGCGCTCATGTACGGCATGCTCAGCCAGTACTGGTTCTCCGCCTCTATCTCCAGGCGGCGGATCATGTTCTGCTTCGCCTGCTCGGAAACGTACCGCGGCCGCCGGTGCTTCCCGATCCACTGCCGGCCTGGGATGCGCCCGCGGCGGAGGACCGCGGTGAGGAGCATGGTTCCTGCCGGGAAGAGGCGCGAGGCCGAGCTGCGGTGCGCAGTGCCTGCTCTCACCGCGAGCGACGCCCGTTCCGGGGCCCAGACCCGGCGCGAGAGGTGGAGAGCCCGTTACCGCCCTCCAGGGTATAAACCCGAGGAACTTCGCCACTCACCAGGCCCTCAACAGAAAACCCACAGCACGCCAACGGACTGCAGACGCGACCGCTGAGGAGCGCGCCTCCCGGAACCTCCGGCCGACTTCGCGCGAGACTTCGGAGACAGCGAGAGAGGGCCTCTGCGCCTGCGTAGGCCCAGTCGCTTCCGGCGCCCACAAATTCAAACGAGCAGCGGGTTTCCTAGAAGTGCGGGTGGTTCCCCGGCCTCGGTAGCGTTCTGCCATGGACCCGATCCGGGCCTTCTGCGGGAAGCTGCGGATCCTGGCCGGCACGCTAGACTGCGAGACGGTCCGACTGCAGCGAGCACTGGACGGAGAGGACAGCGGTGAGTGGGGCCCAGCGCGCGTGGGCTGTGTTTGGCGGCGGACGGACGGACGGACGGACGGACAGACAAGGTGACGCGGTGCCGGCGAGCACTGCTGCGCGGGCTTCGCGGGCCGCTGCTGCTCTCGGCGTTTGCCCGTCACACAGCTGCCAGCCTCGGGCTGCAGGCTGCACTTAAAAAAGAACAACAACAAAAAAAAATTTTAAGCACCCCTCCACCCTTTTTAAATTTTGAGGCAGGGTCTTGCTGAGTAGCTAGAGATCCTCCTACTTCAGCGTCTCAGAGTAGGGGACGTGCCACCACGTCAGACTAACATGCCACCTTTTTTTTCCTGTTAAGAGACTCATAATTATAAGTGTACATATTTATGGTATATGATTTATTCTCTCCCCCTCCCCCGCCTGTATTTCTTGCTTGTTCTATAACCCAGACCTTCCAGTTAATATTGTTGAATAGATCTAGTAAGAGCAGCCGTTCTCATCTGGTTCCCTACCGTAGGGCCAAAGATCTCAGCTTTTTATTATTCAGTGTAATGTTTACCTGTAGGCCCTTCCATCAGGCTGAGGAAGTCCCTCTCTATTCCTGGCTTACTTGAAGATTTCATTACAATTTTGTCAAATGTTTTTTTCTACATCATTTTGATTCAGAACTTCTCTCGAGTGATTTTTGAGAGAGGTCCAATGCCAGGTTGTACAGCGGTACAGGGTATCTCACATCTCTGGAAGCAACTGTTTGCTCATTTTCCTCAGTGTTGCATACCTCCTGGGGATGCATCATCTTTTTCTTATCCCTAACCTTTTACTATTGGCAAGTTCCTCACACAGTGATGTGGTCTCCTTTTCCCCCAGTGCTTGGGTTTCTTTCTCCCTCCTGCTTCTGTTCCTCCTCCTCTTCCTCTTTGTCTATTTCTGCGTTTTATTCTTCTGCTCCTCCTTCATCTGAGTTCCCCCACCCCAGGTTTCTCTCCTTTCTTTTCCTCTTCTTCATCCCAGGTTTCTTCTTCTTTCACCTCTTCTTCTTCTATGCCAGGGTTTTCTTTTCTCTCTCTACCGTCTCCTCACACTGTTTCTTCTTCCTCTGCTTAGAGTTTCCTTCTCTTCTCAAGCCAGGAGGCATTCTGCTCCTTCATCTTGAGGCTTTCGTTTCCCTGTCCATTATTATTATATTATTATTTTCCTGGAACTGGAGATTGAACTCAGACCCTGGTGCTTGCCAGGGAAGCGCTTATTCCACTGAGCCATCTCCCCAGCCCTTCCCTGTCCATCATGAAGGAACTGAACTCCCCTCAGGTCTGGAACGGGTCTCCTGTTCCACACTTTGAGGCTTTTAGAGGTTTATCCCATTTTCTTTGCATCCCATGTTGTTTTGTTGCATTATGTATGAAAATATCTTTTTGTGTGTGTGGTACCGGGGATTGAACTCAGGACCTTGCACTTGCCAGGCAAGCACTTATTCTACTGAGCTATCTCCCAGCTCAAAAATATCTTTCAGTGTGTTTTTTGTAAAAGCTGTTTGACTGGTAAATTGTCTGAAGCTCTGCAGGTCTGAAAATGTCTGTATCTCACCATTACATTTAAATGCTAGTTCAGGGACGGGGGAGATGG